TTGTTGTTCCTAGAGTATTTAAAAGTAGAATGGGAGGCAGAGCCTTCAGTTTTCAGGCCCCTCTTCTGTGGAACCAGCTTCCAGTTTGGATTCAGGAGACAGACACTATCTCTACTTTCAAGATTCAAACTTTCCTTTTTGCTAAAGCATATAGTTAGGGCTGGACCAGGTGACCCTGAACCCTCCCTTAGTTATGCTGCAATAGACATAGGCTGCCGGGGATTCCCATGATGCATTGAGTTTTTCCTTTCCAGTCACCTTCCTCACTCACTATGTATTAACAGACCTCTCTGCATTGAATCATATCTGTAATTAATCTCTGTCTCTCTTCCACAGCATGTCTTTATCCTGTCTTCCTTCTCTCACCCCAACCAATCACAGCAAATGGCCCCGCCCCTCCCTGAGCCTGGTTCTGCCGGAGGTTTCTTCCTGTTAAAAAGGAGTTTTTCCTTCCCACTGTCGCCAAAGTGCTACAAGCAGTCGGCTACAAGCTAAGGTAAGCTAGTGAATCCATAAGCACACAGTAAATGAAAATGAAAAGTGTGTGACATGCTGGCAACAAATAACAACAAATAACTCTCAATCATGTTCTAACTATATCATGTACAGATGGTTACTATTAGGGCTGGGCGATATGGCCTAAAATCCATATTGCGATATAATTTGAAGCACGTGCGGTAACGATATATATCGCGATATATTATTTTCTTCTGTATAACGTATTTTCCGCACTATAAGGACTTAAAATCTTTTAATTTTCTCAAAAATCGAAAGTGTGCCTTATGAATGAATTCTGGTTGTGCTTACTGACCTCGAACTAATTTTGGCTGCAGAAATCTGTTAAAACATGTTTTGATGGATTGTCAGAGCATTACGGCTATCGTAGTGAGGAGCTTCGCGGAGTAATCCGGTCCAAAACTCCGTCCGCTTCAGGTCCCAAAGTCAAACAAACACTGAGAGAAATGAGAATCATTTCTCCTCTCATCCGTTCGTATGGATTTCAAGCACCCGTAAGAACCCTGAAAATCATCAGCGTTGCTGCTTTAGCAAGTGTAACAATTAAGTTTAACATCCAGGCATCCATGAAAACAGAATTTATTAAATTTAACAAGAAAAGAAAGTGTACTTTCTTGATCCCCACGGGGAAATTCCTCTCTGCATTTAACCCATTCACTCAGTGAAGCAGTGGGCAGCCATTGGGCGCACAGGGAGCAGTGTGTAGGGATGGCACCTTGCTTAGGGGTACCTCAGGGTAGCTGTTTAGGGGAATCGAACCCCCGACCTTCCGATCATGGGGCCACCACTCTACCTACTGAGCTATTCCTGCCCTTAGCTCGCTAGTTTCCACCTAAACATTTCATACCATGTTCTGACTGCCCTCAGGGGCAGGGATAGCATCTAGGGGATGGGCCAGGACAGAGCTGGCCCTCTTTACCCGTCTGTTAAGTCATTTCCTACCCTTCTATGTGCTGCTACCTCCTCAGGACACAACTGCAAAAGCCGTCTCTACGACATAAAAGGTCCTCAGTAATTTCCCACACACCTCCAAAAGACCTTGAGCTGTGTAGCAGGTGGAGCTGACTTGAGACAACAAATTAATAAACAAGCTCAATCCAAAGAAAAGCTCCTGAAGGCCACACAGGCTCATCAAATGTCAACAACAACTGAGTGAAATCAAGGAGTGAGCTGTGTGTCTGTGTGTGTGTGTGTCTGTGTGTGTGTGTCTGTGTGTGTGTAATTATGTTAGAGGTTTTACAGCTGCTATGTAATGAGTACATTTCGACACCTGGACTTCAAGTACAGATTCAAATAAGCAGGAGCAGCTCACAGTAAACAGGAAGAAGAAGAAAGATTAAACAGGAAGAGAAAAAAAAACTGACCAGTCTGGTGATGACGGGAAGCCCAAAGTGCCACAAGTGCTCGTTGAGTAGATCGCTGTACACCACGTTACCAAACAAAGCAATGGTTCCTGGTTTGCACAGACCACTTCCTGGCTTGGTTTCTGCAAAAGTGAAAGTCATTTCTTCTTATTCACGATATAAAGTCACTGATGACAATAATACTTAATGTGTTTCAAACAATAAGAGGCTGGTAATAAAACAATCCCGAGACAGTATCCACATGTTTCCTGTTTTCTGTACCCCTCTACTCCTTCTTTACATCAGTCAGATCCAGCTCCTCCCCCTCTTGGACAACATGTGTCCATGCCATGTAATATGTGACATACTGTTATTTTAAAGCATTTACAAACAAACTGCGTAAACAAACAAACAAACAAACAGAGCCAAAACAATAGTGTCTGCTAAATGCCAGGTTAGTCACAAACAGTACTTTTGTTCTTCACGTCCCATGGACTGGATTTACTTTGCGTCACTGACACCTGGATGTCTCCTGGTGAGTCCAGCCTTAGTCCGCGGGTCGTGGTGGAGGTCGAGCCACTGAACTTTGCCCGTAAACAGTCGTCGCCTCCCGTCTCTTTCTGCTGCTTTGAATGAAACCTTTTCGAGTCACTCTCCTGCGCTGCTGTGTGATAGTTCACCTTTCACCAACATTTAATAGGGACTTTTTAACTGACTTCTGTCTCTCGGGTGAAATTATGGTTAAATTGTTGGGACTTTAATATCCATGTTAGTTTGAAACCTCTGGTGAAGGAGATATAGTGGACTCTTAATCTATTTCAATCTGTAAGTGGTCCCACTCAGGAACGTGGGCCCACTCTGGATCCTGTTTTAGCTTCTGGTTTATCTGATGTCAATGTGAAAATTGGTGATGCAGAGTTTTCAGATCTGTCGCCTCTAGATTTTAACTGGGAGCGTCGAACTAATCAAAGCATCTGACTGGAGGAGCGCAGAGTTCGAGTGAGAGGTGTAGGCTAAGCAGATCTGAAGTGTAACCTGAAGCCAAACCATGGAGAGCTTTAAGAGCAAATATTAAAACCTTTGAAAAGAGTACGAAGAATCACCACATGAGCTACAGCTTGGGCATAAGTGGCACTATTTTTCTGAGACATAATGTTTCCTTTCATTGTTATGCAAACAACTTTCAAGTGCATTTTCCACTGAAGCACTGGTGCATCCTCTGTCCAGCCTGTCCTTGACTGCATCATTGACATCAGGAGATTGCACTAAATCGGTTGAAGTTTAATGAGAATAAGGCAGAAGTCATGTTGTTTATACCCAGTTGCACTAGCAGCCCCCCTGCATCGAGCGTCCCTTTCTGGCTCCATATGAGAAATCCATTAACTTAGCTGTGAAAACGGATCCTTCTCTACAGTTTCATCCTCATGTGAGTCCTGTGGGAAAATCCTGCTTTTTCCAGTTGAAGCAACTGTCAGAGTTCAAGCCTCCTCTGTCCAAACACAACATTGAAACAATACTTAGGTCTTGTTTTACCTTCTGGTCCGTGTTTGTCTTTTATATTTGGTGTTGTTGTTTTTAAAGTGCACTAGAAGTGATAAATATGGTAAAAACATTCCTCTTTCATCATTTTACACTCCAACTCCTTTACATCATAAATGTTGGTCAAACTGTTTAGCAGTGTTCTTTAGCCCTGTATGCTCATCTGCATACAGGGCTGGACGGGGACAAAAAATCAGCCCGAGCATTTTGACTAGAGACCGGCCCACCATTATAGGAAAAATCATAAAGCCTTTGAATGAAAACAAACGCTGTTGTGACAGTGATGTACACTGTTCTGATGGTATATATGTATCGATCTATCAATAGTTTGTTGTAAGATTCAGATAATTATTTAATAAAAGTGAGACATTTTAAATGAGAATAAGGAAGTATTTCTTTGTGCCCCCCTCTCCCTGTTAATGCCCTTCCTGGCCCCCTGGCAACACTTTGCTAGACCCGCCCCTGCACAGTTACCAGCTGTCAGCTACATAAAAAAGGATCCTGGTGTTATTTGTCTCTCAGAAACAGTTCATAACTTCAACTCATCCATGTCACCTAAAAGGTAAACCTGTTTCTCCATCACAGCTCTGATGATTCAGTAAGGACATCTCCTGGTTTCATCTTCATGTTTCCCTCTCACCACATATACAAACCGACATCATGACCAGCAGCTTTACAGCTGTGGCTCCAGCAAACATCAGCTGATACTAGAAAGTAATATTAAATAAATTCTAACAACAGCTGATCGAGCTTAAACGTGCTGCTGTTGTTTAGCGCGACATCCGCTGGCTTCCTCTTTCTGGCGCAAAGTGGGCGATAAACAAACGAGAGAGAAAAGCCGATCAGCTGATCATTGATCAGTTTCATGATTGAAGTAGCAACAGGAGAGAGAGGGGAGAGAATGAGAGAAGAAGAGGCAGCTGTGCAGCATAAGACACAGAATAAATCCAGCATTGTGTCTTTTTCATTGTAGCTGAAGTCCGGGACAAACTGTTCCTTTTCACCTCAACACGAAACGCATAATATTTTCCGTTTCTTAGGGGACGGTTGGCAACTCTAATAATTAACCTTATGAACAAAATAAAGTTCATGCTAGCTAGCACGCAGTACGAGTTATTGTAACTGACTGTAAAAAGTCAGCATAACGAAAATAAACCCCACCTAAACTTGGTTTATATCTGGCCCAGATAGACTGCAGCTCATAACTTCTTACCTGAAGTTCAGTTCACCGCCTCGGGTCTCTGCTCTTCTTGCCTCCCCTCTCCCTCATCCACCTGCTGTCCTCCACCACTTACTAATGTTACTGAATCTGTGGAAGCTCCGTGATAGCTACCACACAAACGAATAACGAGCCTATCTAAATCCCAGTAACGATTAACGTGTTCCTGATTTCGGCATAATAACTGGTTACCGTGCTTGTTACCACAATAATAACGTAGTTACTGTATTAGTCCCTGCACTGCTGTTTAGTAAGTGAACCTCCTCTGCTGGGAGTCACTTAGCCTGTTAACTCACAATAAACAGAGCAGTGAATGGTTTGTTTAGCACACTGGTTTGCTGTCAGTCTCCCATCAAAGAAAACAAGTTAATCCAACAGCACGTGTGCAAACAACAAAAAGAAAGCTGCTAGCCTCTCAGCTTTTGTTAACAGGACACTTCACGGCAGGTACTGCTTACAACACAATATCACATATTTGTAATCCTGTAAAGCAAAGTTGTGTCTGGTCTGGTGTCTGGTTTGCTATCTTCGTGGGGACATCCCATTAACATAACCCTAACATAACCTAATTGTAACCCTGACACTAAAACCACATTTTGAGTCTCAAAAATGCCTTCAACCCCATGGGATTTTGGTCCCCACCAAGATAGTAAGAACCTGTACACGCAGACACACACACACACATGCACAAACACACACAAATGCACAGACACACACACACACACCGCTGAGGCTGCAGGGATCTGGATGCCAGTCCAACAACAGTACGAGTTCCTCCGTGTGTCCCTGCAGTGACTCCAGAACAAAGGCCTCCAGTGTGCGATGCAGAGTTCTGCTCTTCTCTGTGTCGAGCTGATCTGATTGAATAAAAGCTCCACGGTATCCTGTTCTGGCTCCATATAATCTTTCTATACAAGATATACTTGTTTTACTGTACTCCTCATGTTTTATACATAATGTTGTGACTATATTCTGTGACCATGGTGGGCAGATAACATCTCTCTGTAAACGCTGCTCCTTCCTGTACTGTTGTTTGCAAAGGAAAATCAAGCCTCACAGAGACAGTGGCTGTGGAGTCAGACGGCCTTTCCAACCTCTGACCTCACATCGTTGGGAGACAAGAAGACCTGAGACGTTTGGACCATCTCCACTGGAATTTTCATAAACAGACCACATTGTCCTTGTAACAGATATGAAATAAACTGGGGGGTGTAACAGGACGGCCCTTAGCGGCTGGAAACACAGTGAGACGGACCGAGGCAAGTGTAGTGGAACAAAGTATTTATTTGCTATACAGCTCTCCTTACAACAATTAACTTATTGAGCTTCTTCACAGCACAAAAATCCATCCTCTAATGAAGCCTGGCAGCCTTAAATATGTTCAGCTATCACAGACTAAGCCATTATTCCACTCTCAGGTAAATTCTTAAATCCCAACCTTCCACCACAGTATACAATATATCAATAAGAATAAATAAATACATAAATACATTTTCACATTTACATATTAATAAATACTTCACACTTTAATGTTACACCAAACCCAATATTATAAAAACCCAGAAACCCAAGCACAACAAGATTCACCACACTCTCTTTACCAATGGTCTCTCCCGGAACCTTTAAATGGTGTCTGGCCCCCCGGGGAAACATTTGCCCAAACACCTTGAAGAGGACACAGGCAAGAAAGGTGAGTAATCATTAACTTACAAACACTTATTGCACCACTTTTATCCCTAGATTTCACACACACACATTTGTATTAGTTTTCCTTACTGGTAAACCTTAATCACAATCTCAATCACCATTCTTCTCTCCTGACAGACAACCACCACATTCCTTGACGAGGAGCAGCTGTGCAGGATCTGAAATAAGGCTACCAACTAATTTTAAAATTCCCAATAAATAGTCAATAAATATTTAAACTTCTTGTGTGCAAATCCATGCTTAAAGTGCAATGCTCATAAAGTGCTTGATAAGGTGCTTTTAATAAAGTGAAAGGTGTGCTCTAAAGTGCTATACATATAATATAAATAAATGCAGTAAGGGAGTCCTCTTCCTTACAGTGGGAATGAGATTTGTTCAAGTCATCACAGAGCTGAGGAAACTCAGTGTTTCAAACGTGATGAATTACTTTCAAAAGAAGACTGGGAGATCCTCTCTGTATTGATTCTTCCACAAACAATGGTGCCGAGCAAAGGTGGCGAGTACAGATGAGCTGTGTTAAAAAGTACTCCAGTAAAAGTTAAAATACTTAAACAACTTCTTTACTCAAGTAAAAGTACAAAGTACACTTCTACCACCTACTACTAACTTAGTGTTATATTAATCACAATGAAGTAATATTAGTAGATAGAAAAACAAAATTATGTTAGTCTACTCCTTCATTGTGATTGAACTCTGAACCAGGTTGAAGCAGTGAAATAGAACCTGATCAGAGAGAAAGAGGGGGAATAATAAGCAGCTTTATTTTCTGTTACATTTTAAAGGCTGACTTTGCCTCCAACAGGAAAATGAGCAGGGAAGTGGCTGAAGTGGGATTGAGCAGTGGCTCAGTGTGAGGACACAGCGCACAATAATTTCTACTGAGAGCTCCGGTCCTAGTCTACAGGCTGTGATCAGCTGGTCTCTGCGGATTTACACACCTGAATTCGAGCAGATGTTTTATGAGTTGTCCTGGTGTTTGTCCTCTGCACTGTTCATGCTGTATTTATATTAGACTGTATGAAGATGGTGAGGAGGGAAAAGCCCGTTATGTAGCCTGACCATGAGCAGCACAGCCACTAAGCACCAGCCACACACTGTTCGTTACTTTGACTCTGTGGTAAGCTGGGGCGGCTGTAGCTCACGAGGTTGAGCAGGTCCTCTACTGGTCGAAAGGCCGGTGGTTCGATTCCCCTAGTCTGCATCTTAAAATATGTCTAAGTTGCTCCATCAGAGTGTGAATGTTAGTCAGTAAGGACTTAAAATCATAGAACAGAGTGAATGTGGCAGGTTGTATTAACAGCTTTGAATACTGAGAGAGGAGAAGCACTGCGTAAGAATCAGTCCATTCAGCAAACCCATGACAGAGCAGCAAACCAACCTACAAGGACCTTTAATTAAAACATTTAATCCAGCTTAGTTTGCAACATGAAAACAAACCAATATCTGATTTAAAAACACGAGGACTTAAGTGTAAGCTTAAATTTACACTTTATCAAACCCCACTGAGCATGCTTTAACTCTAAGCTCTCTCCTCTTCTTCTTTCTTATCTTTCTCCATCTCTGAGTGAACTTAGCGCTCTTTCTTTTCTCTCCCTGTCAGATACAGCAGCTGGACCTTCAGCTGCAACACACTGTGAGACAAACCGCACACAAACAGTTTGTGTTTGAATTAGTGTTGAGCTGAAATTCAAATTCAAATTCAAATTCAAATTTTATTTGTCACGTAC